AAAAAAAAAAAAAAAAAGAATTATCATGTCAGAAACCTTGCATAGATCGGGTCCTTTGACAAGAAAAAAATATCTTGCATAGATAACGGTTGGCGATGTTAGGCCAGGATATCAAAAAAAAGCGCGTTTGTTAGACAATGTCAAGTGAGACAGTCAAGGACGACGATGTTCATAATAAAGTAGATCCGAGCAATGAATTCAACATGATATAAAGAGAGGAAGAGCGTCGATATTATTATTAATTAATAAAAAAAAATCCCAAAAATCTAACGTCTTTGACCATTCACGAACTGCGGTTGCTGCTGTTGCTGTTGTTGTCGTTGAGCGGGTGGGACATATTTACTATTGGCAAGACCTCTAACATTGTTGATAAAGTACCCAACAATCTCCCAGAAACGATCAGGCCTTTGACCAGGCATGGGGTTCAAACGGATATTACGTTCCCGAACAAGTTCTTCAGGGTGAACAAATTCAATTTCCAATTCATGTGTCATATCTGGTTGTGGAGGTGGTCTGGCCATCTGTGAGTAATTGGGTCGCTGTTGTTGTTGATGCGGTGGGGGTGTGTTGGCGGTTTTGACCTGCGTGAGATCAATTTTGAAGTTATGGTGACGATATGATATCCTATCCTTATGACGCTCAAACTGAGGGTTGCCCGTCGGTGGAGGAACTATTCCCAATTAAGAGGAAAATCATGGATACATTATGAAAAAAATATAAGAACAGTAATTAGAATTAGCGAAATGGTTGAGCTCATTTTTGCACTTCTCCAAAAAAACTGTTCTTGTGGGTCGTTTTGTATGACAGTACCTGGTACTTCAATATTGACCGAAACACGGAAATCAAAGGGTAATCTGGGTGAGTACACGTCCAGATCGGCGATGCGATCCTTTTTCACGATCCCGTTCGGTACCACTTGATTGGTAGACTGATCTTTGGTGACTCTAGTTTTTCCTTGAGGCCCTGTAAAGAATTGGTCAATCTCCTTGGTATGCTTGTATTGGATTTGGTATCCCTAGTTACAGCATGTCATTAGGAAAATCTATATTAATAAGTGTCCTACCAACTCTCTTTACGATGACAACGACACCAAACATGAATAAGACATACCTTGAAATCCTTGTGCCTAGTGACGCCTAGTCTGTCGTTTAATACCGCATTGAAGTGCGCATGTTGGTCCTATGTTGTTGTGCGTATGTTTTTTTTTTTTGTGTGTGGTCGTCAATAGAAATGTGTGTGATCAAAGTTAATTGAACTGGGTACGCTCTATCATTCATCCAAAGTCCAAAATTGATAAAAAAAAAAAACAGATAATATTTTCCAATGCACGTACGATGGTCATGTCCGAAACAAATCGATACCAAGCCGGCCGTTGTGGCATGATCACGGTTTCGCTCAAAACAGGTAGCTCTATGCGACGACCGGTCGAGTTGTCTGTGAGGACACCCAACTTGGCTTCAATCTGGAGCGAATGGAGGAACGAGGAGAGCGTGAGCCGTGTTATTCTTTCTTTCTTTTCGTTTTCTTTGTAGACATATCGCTCAAAAGGTGATCTGTCATGTATCATGCTTTTCTTTGTTTACCTCGACGTTAGGGTGGTGACAGTGTTGGAACAAGAACTCGCCTACTGCTCGAACAACATCGTCCATCACGTCTGTCCCAAAAAACGCGTGGTCACGCCTGGGTGGTTGTCCAGTGGGTGGCTGTTGAGGTTTCTGTTGCTGCTGCTGTTGAGACTGTGATGACTGTGCAGGATAATTACTCTTTGACGCCGAGGCTGAGGAGGAGGAGGATGATGATGAAGAAGAAGGGTTCGCTACTACTACAGCAGGCGTTGTATTCGACGGCGCTGTTTCCTCACTCTGTGTTGCATCTTCGGGTCGCGTCTTTTTGTTTGGTTGACGTTCTTCATTGCTGTGCGTGGCGAGGTCTGAATCATGTCCTGAAGGTTGTTCAGTCTCCTCAAATGGTCTCTTTCGTGTGTTGATGTCTGCCTCTGACATTATTGATTGATGATTTCTGGTAAGAGAAAGTGAAGATGCAAGAATAGAATGAATGGGATGAGTTTTTGGTCATTATTTTTTTTTTTTTTTTTTTTTTTTTACCTTTTTTAAAAAAAAAAATGGTAATAAAATAAAAAACTTGAAGGCCACGCGGGAATACAAAAAGCTCACTCAGTTCTTTCTTGATCCATTCATTCTCTTTGGCTTTCATTCGATCACTACAACAACACAAAGTCGTCCAAATACACAACAGCATCACAACAGCATCACAACAGTATGTCATTGTTATACAAGGCGTCAGCATCGATGCAAGGCAAGATGGCAGCAACGGCAACCACCTTGTTCTCACAAGGAGCCTACAGTAGAGTACTTCCCACGACTCGGATCTTCAGCAGTCGCCACCACCACCACCGTGGCCTTTCCACGAGCCAAAGCCTCTTGTCATCCGATCGCCCACGTCTCGAGACACCCAAAGTCTCAAAGTACAGGGTCGATGGTCAAACCTCAAAATTCATCAAACGTAAAGGCGAACCTCGGCCAAAGGACTATCGCGTGATCCATGATTCAGAACGAAAGATAAAGATCCTTGACTGGAGTACATCGTCTTCGCAAGCAAATACAAACGTATCCAAGTCCAGCATGTCCTCCAATCGTCAACGTCTTTCAAGTGCAGCGCATACAATGCTTGGAACAGAACAAGATCCCTTTGATGTTATTGTGCAAAGAGATTCTCCCAAAGGAGATCGTTTTTCGTCCAGGGATCGGGATAGAGAGTCTGGCAAGTATGGCCGATCATCGTTCCCAGAGCGTGTTTCACGAAGCGAAGACTTTTTTGACGACCGCCGGCGTCATGACAATTCTCGAAACGACAGATTTCATGACAGGAACAAAAGCAGCAGCAGCAACAACAGTGGCAATGAACGGGATTATGATGCTTCCTTGTCAACATCATCACGAGGAGGAAGTGGCGCGCAAAAAATGAAGCCAGATTACGATTATTTGTATTCGCCCAATGTGGTTCTGCCTGCCATCCAGAACGGTATGCGGACATCACACACGTTGTATTATTCACATACTGTGCGTCAAAACCGGAAATTGTACGTTGCCCCCATCCACTCTGTTCTTCTTCTTTTCCTGCTTTCTTTCGTTATGAATGTGTATGCGTCTGAGTGTGAGAATGGGTCACTGGGAATTATATCTAAACTTTTTTTTTTTTTTTATTATTATTTTTTT